CATAAAAATTAAAAAATTATAACGTAAATAACCATATATGTACATATCATGTTATTATGCAACGCTCGCCGTTCCCGCGTCTAAACGACAAGTGTCTCGTTGCCGCGACTTCGACGGCACGCGTCAGTTGTCGTCGTCCGTCGTTAATCGCACCTTTGCGTATTAATTAAACAATTACCCTAATCGTCAATCACCTCGCAGGGAGGACGACGGTCAGTTTGTCGAGGAGCAGAAGCTCGAGGGACACAGCGACTGGGTGCGTGACGTCGCGTGGGCGCCCTCTATCGGCCTGCCACACCAGATCATCGCCAGCTGCTCTCAGGTGACATGTCCGCGACACATCCAGCAGCCATATGCTCCCTCATGTAAAGGCCTGTGAGGGAATCTCCTATAGCAGCCATATGTCCCCTCAATGTAAATGCCTGTGAGGGTATCTCCTATAGCAGCCATATGTCCCCTCATGTAAATGCCTGTGAGGGTATCCTTCCTAATAGGCAGCATATGTCCTCCTCGAAATGTAAAATGCCGTGAGGTAATCTCCTCATAGCCAGCTCCATACTGCCCCCTCAATGTAAATCCGCCCTGCTCGAGGATCCTCCTATAGCAGCCTAACTTCCCTCAATGTAAAAGCGCCTGTGTACGGCGTATCTCCTATAGAGCCAACGTCCTCTCAAATGTAAAAGCCTTTAGGGAAGTTCTCCTAACTCAGTCACCACCTATGTCCGCCCTCATGATAAACGGCGTTGAGTGAGGGAAATCTCCTATACCAGCCGATACTGTCCCTCAATGTAATACTCCTGTGAGTATCTGCCTATAACAGCCCCATCAGTCCCCTCGAATAAAGCCCGTTGAGGGTACCTCTCTATAGCAGCCATGATGTCTCCTCATGTAAAGGCTCCTGCCTGGCAGGCGTATCCCTAATGAGCAGCATATTCCTCTCAATGCTAAACTTGCCTGTGAGGGTATCTCCTATCAGCGCAAGCCATATGCTCCCCTCAATGTACATACGCCGCCTGTGATCGATCCCATACTATCTCTCTCAATTGTGAGGCCCTGAAGGAGACTGCATAACCTATCATATAACACCCCGTAGGAGCCCATATACTTCCTCATGTGAGGCCCTGAAGGAGACTGTATAACCTATCATATAACACCCCATAGGAGCCCATATGCTTCCTCATGTGAGGCCCTGAAGGAGACTCTATAACCTATCATATAACACCCCGTAGGAGCCCATATACTTCTTCATGTGAGGCCCTGAAGGAGACTGCATAACCCATCATATAACACCCCGTAGGAGCCCATATACTTCCTCATGTGAGGCCCTAAAGGAGACTGTATAACCTATCATATAACACCCCATAGGAGCCCATATACTTCCTCATGTGAGGCCCTGAAGGAGACTGCATAACCCATCATATAAGACTCCGTACGTGTCTCAATATGCCTTGTACGCGGCGCCCCCCTGAAGCCAACTCTTGCTGATGCTTCGACGCCCCTGCGTCTCCTCCTTGCAGGATCGCCGAGTCATCATCTGGCGGAACGACGGCACTGCCGGCGCCACCTGGACGTCGACGGTGCTGCACACGTTCGACGACGTCGTCTGGCACGTCAGCTGGTCGGTGACGGGAAACATTCTAGCCGTGTCTGGCGGCGACAACAAGGTAGGCTTGGTAACGTTGAATCTTGCACAGTGGGGTTGAGCCGGACGCCCCGCGGTGCATTAGCAAGCGAATTGCGTATCACACTAACACTAGCGCGTCGGTAAACGACAAATTCCGATCTCGGAATGTTCGATATCGCTTGATTAAAATGTGAGCTATCAAAATGGGTGATTATTGATGTTGTAATCCCTCTGTGGTTAAATTAATGTAAGTTACTGAAAAGAATTATTCTCGATGTTGTAATCCCTTGATGACCAAATTAATGTTAATGTAAATTAATGTTATTTAAATTGATGATTCTTGATGGTGTAATGCCTCCATGGCTAAATTAAGATGCAAGTTATTGATCGTTGATGCCGCGATTCCTCGATCGCGAATTCCTCGACGTGGTCTGGAGCGTAATTCTCTTCTTGCTCGTGCTTATCTGTGCAGGTGAGCTTGTGGAAGGAGACGTTAGAAGGACAGTGGGTCTGCATCAGCGATGTGAAGAAAGGCAAGAGTGCAGTGCTGAGCAGCTAGGAAGGGTCACTCCTTTCCCGCTCCCACCTGTGCTGAGAAACGACCTCCCCTCTCCCCCCACGAAGAGGGGGGAGTGATCCCCTCCCACAATGATGAGGAGAAGTGACTTCCTCTTATTGTGATGCGATGGGATGACTCCCTCCTACCATGAAGAGGATGAGTGACTCCCACCACTACGATGACGGGGAGTGACCCCCTCCCATGATGAGGGGAAGTGAGCCTCTCCCATTGTGATGAAGAGGAGTGACTCCCACCACCACGATGAGGAAGAATGACCCCCTCCCATTGTGATGAAGAGGAATGACCCCCTTCCATTGTGATGAAGAAGACTAACCCCCTCCCATTGTGATGAGGAGGAATGACCCTCCCTCCCCATCATGATGAGGAAGGGTGACCTCCCACCACCACTATGGTGAAGAAAAGTCTAATGTCAGATCACTAATTGTCACCGGATACTGCGGTTGCGACCATCAGATGGCAGCACCATATTGCTGCGTTCTCTAAAGCAAACTGGGAAGGAGGATAACTCATAAGGCACTGTAAACAGTTGCATTGTTAGAAGTCTGCAAACAATGGTGTTGTCGATGTAATGTAAACAATTGTGTTGTCAGGGCACTGTAAACAATAGCATTGCCAGATGAATGTAAACAATGGCATAATCACATGTCTGACAACAATGTTGTTAGGGGAATAAACAATGGTTTATTCAGGGGACCGTAGACAATGTCATTGTTGGGAGACTGTAAATAGTGGCATTGTCAGTGAACTGTGAACAATAGCGATATCAGAGCGTCAGAACCCCTGGCATTGTCAAGTGAATTTAAACAGCGGTGTTGTCACTTGAGCATAAAGATGTCTGAGTGTGAGCGTTGTTTGCTGATCAGTAATAGCAAGTGTTGGTGGGGGAGCTTTTACAACTCATTTTAGTTTTCATTTTGCATAATCACGGATTGCTGTATTCACTTCATCTATCAGAGCCTACGCAAGTGCCCCAACTGAAGCGTAGCTAACCCATTTGTCTTTGTGGGAGGAGGAAGGGTCAGAATCATGCGCAGTGTGTGTTCTGGACAGTCGAGCGTAGGGGGTTGTTTCTCCATTGGTTATTGACCATGTGATAGTAGTTACATTGGTCTGGTAGCGGGGACTGCCCTCCCTTTCCTCCCTCCAACTAGCCACGGCCCTGCCCCCGTATATATCCCATATACCATAATCTATCCTACGTGTGCCAACGCGTCACCTCTCACCGTGTAACGCGCACACGCGTCATGCACGCACGTAACCCAACCATCTCACCCACATCATATATGTCTGTCATGCATCATATAAACACACCCTCCACCAGTCACTATGTGTAACGCTATGCGAGTGGCGTCGTAGAGTAAGTCGATAAGCCATGTGTTGTGGCCGAGAGAGGGCATGGGTCACACGTTTCCTGTTGGGTGGAGGTTTGACATGTTATAACAGCGATGCGGCGAGCCTACACAAAAGCTGAGATGTTAATGTATAACAGAACAGATACGTAGGCCCTACTAGTAATCTGGCAAATGCGCCTATATGTATTAGTAAATGCCGATTTACTGAATAAAGGTGATATAATAATATTATAATAATTATGATGGTTAATGTATGCATTTGGTGTATAGTAGTTGTTTTGTGTTTGTGTTGCCTCATTTGGTTGCTGGTGGGTCAGCTGGGTGGTTGTATTGTCTATCTCATATAGTACGTTTAGACTAATCGTGATGTGGCCATAGCAAGTGAAGTGAATCACTGCAGTTCCTTCAGACTAACCCCTATGGCCGATTGGAGTTAAATATATATTGAGCGCTCAACTACCTAAGTGAGGCGTGTTGTTTAATTACATTGCTCGTGAGTTTCGGGTAGAGACGTACAGACACATCGGAAGCCGTTTACTTCATGCTTTCTACGGGTGCAGCTAGAGCACATGCGCAAATACAAATGTTATAGTAATACGTATCTATAATAAGATCACAGTGTAACAGGTACATGTTCGTGCAGTATTCAGTAATTTAATTCGATAAAAACAGATGCATCTCTATTCCGGTTACTAATGATATATTTCTACATGCGCACACGCGCATCCACAAATGTACATGATAATGGCGCTCGGACGTTGTTCGCCGTTGACTGGCAAGATAATTTTCTTCATAGGTGTTCGTGTGTGATTTTACTTATATATATAATATATATATATATATATATATATTACGCGTGCAAATGCAGAGTAAAAATATTTATTAGCTTTTTCCGCCGCGAGATGGCGCTGCCAGCCAGTTACGTACACAATTTCGTCTGCTTCGCTGTTCGCCGTCAAAAATATAGAGGAAAGCGAAATTCCGCGTTTAATTTCTCTTCTAAAGTGCTATAAGGGATGTTATCGCGTACCATAGTATGCGATGTATACACCTCTACGTGCGAATCTATCGATAGACGCTTTTTAGCTGTTCAACGCTTCAGAAACACTACGATACGGACCTAGGGAAGGCCATGCGAAGTACGAGAATTCCGAGAGAGAGAGAGAGACAGAAAGTCGGACCAATTAAAAGTAAGTCTGTTTAAGTATTTTTCTTCTGTCAATAACGTTTCGCACTCGTTTTCACGCAGCATCTCCTCTACCGAGTGTATATATCGGGGCACATTGTGTGGCGCTAATCAAATGAGTAGAGAAATTAGAACATTCAGACACCTTGGTCCCTCTCGCACTAAACGAGTCTGCCATCAAAGTGCTCCCGTTAAGTCTCCAAAGAGCATTGCGGGATAGCGGGGTGGGGGTGGGTTAGTGGCATTTAGCGAGACTACACTAATAACACCGCTATAAATAACGGACTAGATACATAGTTATGTTTGGACTAGCTACATTGTTATATTTGGACTAGTAGTATTTCTATGTATGCGTGCCACACACCACATACGAAGTCTTATTTCACCATATTCTATACTCGTCGAATCAAGAGGATTATAAATAGACTATAGACCGCAGAGATATATTAATATAACTATGGTTTTATTTCCATATTTATCTATACCTATACTTACTATACCTATAATAATTTAAATTACGCGATTCTATATTTGAAGAGTATACATTGTATTTGCAAAACTGCTTACGTCTATTTTGGAGAATTGAGGAAAACAACAAAAAAATTATTTGACACATGTGGTTCATCAATTTAAATAGTTTATGAGACATAAGAAGAGAAATAACAGGTTTACAGAAATCCTTCACTGTTTAATTACTTGTTAGAATTAATTAACATAACTGGAAACACGGATGTAAGCAGTTTTGAAACTAAAGTCGAATAACAAACACAACATAATTAATTGACTCACTCAATTGGAATATTTTAGTTAAAACAATTGATCAGCCTGACTGTAAATTCAATAATACAAAATATTTCTCAGTACTGGGATGGTATTGGGTTGGGTGGGTGTGGGGGGAATGTAAGCACTCATGTTTGAAAAGTATACGCACACATCGTGTGATTACTGTAGAGCATTGGTCATGAGAACAATATATACAGTGTTCTCATACAATGTGTACATGTCATGTATACATTGTACTCAGCATTGGTCAAAATGTCAAAAAGGGCGCTGTTGGTTATAATATATAAGCTATTTTGCAGTTAAATATTTAAGCTGTTTTGCAACTAAAGTTCATTTATGATGGATCTATTAAGCAGGATGTAAGCTGTTTTGAAAGAAACAAGTACTCTACACTGTACATATGTTCACATACTATACATAGGTAGTTTAAACTAAATTCGTAGAAAAAATGGGTGTGAGCAGTTTTGCAAACATGCTTTTCATTTACTCGTCGAACCGTAAGGAATATAAATATAGTATCGTCTATTTCTATGTCTACTAGTCGAACCATAAAAAATGGAAATAGATTTTTCACTTGATAATGTTCATTGTGACAGAATTTGTGCTATCGCTGACTCTAAATACTGCTATGGTATGGTATATATACCTACGCATACTACATACTACGTATATTGCGCATTGTGAAGGATAGACATTTTGATCGTATTACCGAAAGGCTATGAGTCTACGGCTATTATGCTGTGTTCGATGACGAAGCTTGGAATAGCGAACGAACGCACAGATTGTTGCGTGCCTTTCCCGCCGTTGAATTATCTCGCTATTGAATGCAATCCCACTCTCACTATTTTCCCTGTTTGGATGCTGCTTTTTGTTCGTACTTATCGATGGGTATGCTGTCGACAACAGTCAGTTCTTTATTTTCCCGCCGACCTCCCGTCACGTCTGGTCCCCACCGTCGACTGCAGAGTCTCTTTATGACCGCTACACAGTTAGCGCGACTTTATCAGATATTCCCCTTAGCTAAAAATTGTGAATGACTTTAATATTAAAAAATCATGAATACTAAAGTCATCTACAAAAGCGAGAAATAGAGAGACGGAGATAGAAAGAGAGGGAGAGAAAGGGGACAGAGAGAGAGAGAGAGAGAGAGAGAGAGAGAGAGAGAGAGAGAGCGAGCGAGA